CATAGCTCTCCCTACTCCAAAAACACCAGTGACCCATGGGCTTCTGCAATCTCTTCTCAGCTCACTGTGGGAATGTAGCATTTGCCCACTGGCCCTGTAGGTCGCTGGTGGGGTACTGCTAACTGCAGTGAGTGTGTACACTGTCCTTGTTGTCTACAATGATCCATTGTGTTCTGTAAGTTTTCCACTGAACATTTCTCTGCTACTGAGCTGTGGGAATGTGCTGGCCTCATTGGTGGTGCCTTCCTGTGGGTAAAATCATGAGTCTTCTCTGTTTTCAGCCATCTGAATGTCCTCTGAAAACCTTCATTAAAGAAATATCACCCTAACCACAACATGAATGGCATACGAGGTGGGCATTTGGTTTGTTATTATGTTGTTAGAGTTGAACAGTCGTGAATGGGAGTAGTGCTCTAATAAAGGGACCCTCGAGAGCTCCCTCAGTTCTTCTGCCATAAGACATGGTGAGAAGTTGGCTGTACATGGAGTCAACTTTAAATCTCTTGATACCTTGATCTTGGTCTGGCAAGAATATGAGTAATAAATGTTTGTAAGCTGCCACGTCTATGGGGTTGGTTCTAGTCTTAGGAGGAGGCAGGGCCTGCAGGATGACCCCCAGATCTGAAGAGGCCATCACCCCAGTTTCTCTGGTTCTAGGAGAATCTGTCTTGCTATCACAAACCACACATCACAAGTCATCAGTGACACTGCTTAGGCTAAGGTGATGGGGTCACTCACTTCTGGATCTAGTTGGGTTTCTGAATCTCCCAGAGTCTCAGTGGATGTCTAGGATGGTCATGTGCATGGGATGCTGGGATCATGGGTGGGATGTGTTCCAGTGGTTTTCCTCTTATAATAACAACCCACTGCTGCAGCCTGTGCCCTGAGGGTGGCTGTGCAAGCAGCTCTCCATTTCTACAATTAGAGTACCTGCCAGGGGATTTACTTGAGCTCATAGTTTGTAGGTCCCCAGTCCAGGACTGGGCAACCCCACTGGTTCAGATATCTGGCCTGGCCTTTCCAGTTTGGATGAATTTAGTTTGTTTTTGTCTCGTGAGTATCCTCATACAATTTGGAGTAGAAGCGAGAATGAGCATTTTTGTCTGGTTTGTATTCATGACCTTACAGGGAAATCTTTCAGCCTTTTACAAGTACAGTGTTAACCTTTTTTCCCCCATGCATGTCACTTACCAGATGAGTGCATTCCCTTCTATTCTGATTCTGTTGAATTCTTCTTAATATGAAATGTGTTACATTTATCCAAGAAACCTTCTGAATCTTTTCAGGTCTAGTTTTATCCATTCTATTCTGGGAGATGCTGCTTTAGTTGATTTTTTCCTGTAGAACCATCTTTGTATTACTGAGATTATCCCACTTGGTCATGGTGTCTTTTTCTTTTATCACACTGCTGCATTTGATTTGCTAGTCATCTATTGAAACTGTTGCATCTGTGGATTTTCTCTGGAAATACTTACATCAACGTTTGGAATCAGTGACTTGCCAGTCTCAGAGACTGAGTTGGAAACTATCCCTTCCTTGTATTTCAAACAGTTTGTGAAGGTTACAAAAGATTGGTGCCATGGTTTGGATGTTGCCCATTTTTGTCTCCAAAAAGTTGACTGTTGGAATCCTGGTTCCCTGTGTGTTAAGATGCAGTTGGACTTTTAAGTGTGGGGATCTTGTGGGAGGTCATGGGGTCATTGGGGCCCTGCCCTTGGAGGGATCTCTCTAAATGAGTGACTTGTTCCCTGGAGTCCAGTTACAATGAAAGCACAGGACCATCTCCCAGGTCTCTGTGGCTTCCTTCTCACCAGGTGGTCTCTGCCTCTTGCTAGAACTCATACCACTGTGATGAACTGCTACCATCCAGCATTAGCTCTTCCCCTGAGGTGAGCTGATGCTGGTGCCAGGGCCTTGAACCTCCACCCATGAATTAAATAATCCTGAATTTTTATGAATCATTCATCCTTAGGTATTTTGTTACCATGATGGAAAACAAGCCTTTATGCATCACATTGCTATAAATTCCTTAAACTCTTGATAGAATCAGTCAGTGAATGCATGTGGTTCTGAATTTTGTTTTAGTAAGTTTTGGATGACTAACTGCATGGCCTTTCTAGTTACATGTGTATTCTGATTTTCTGTTGTACTAACAGTTTTCTTGAGGTATGTGACAGAAATGTACATATTGAAAGCACATGTATGATGATATCATTGCATATATCCCAGGTGACACTGGAACCACAATCACTTTCACAGTGTCCCCTGTGTGAATTTATTGTCCTTTCTCGTGCATCTCCTTCATCCTTGTGTCTATACCCCATCACTCACTCAGTTTTGTCTCCTGAAGTTTGAAACTTGGTACAAGCTCCAATTTCTATGTGTGTGTGATTTGAATAGAGCCCTTGTCGTTTTTTCAGTAATGTTGGGTTAACTTATGTATTAGTTACTTTTCAACCTGTATGTGGGGAGCAATTCGGACTATACTGTTACTGGAATTAAGATTTATTCTATGCATCTGCTCTCCCACAATATGGCGCTGGGAGAGAAGTAAACAGCTTCTACCCAGCTGCCTCTCACCAACTTGACAAGCTGCAGGAGCTGCTCCTGATTGGAGGAGAGCGGCGTGCTCGGCGTGTGGGCAGCCGAGTTGGGATTGGTGGAGAGGACTATATAGGAGGAGAGAGACGGCATGGTGGTGTGGGTTGGTTGGAGAGTGCGTTGGAGAGTTCGCGGGGAAGTTCGTTACTTCGTTCTTTCTCATTTCTCTCTACTCATTCTTGCTTTGGGAGTTTGCTGTTTACTTATTCTTACTTTACTATAGAAAGGACTTGTAAAAAAAGGGAACAACAAGCGCCCGGTCCGGTGCGGCTCCTCCGCGTGCGGAGGAGCAGCAAGTGGTGCCGTGACTCGGATATGAAGCCTAGGCAGGGTTTGGTGTCGTTCCTCCATGAAGAGGGGGAGCGACATAATGGTGCCGTGACTCGGATATGAAGCCTAGGCAAGGTTTAGTGTCGTTCCTCCATGAAGAGGGGGAGCGACATAATGGTGCCGTGACTCGGATATGAAGCCTAGGCAGGGTTTGGTGTCGTTCCTCCATGAAGAGGGGGAGCGACACCTGTATGTTTTAGATTTTTAATTATAATACAGTACACATGTCAGAAAAAGCACAATAATGTATAGATAAATGAGTTTTTTTGTCTTCAGATCATATTGATGCCAATACATGATTAGAATAAGGAATGACTGGTACTCCAAGAGTCCTCACTGTTCCCTCCTCTCCATTTTTTTGTTAACTGGTGCAATAAGAACATATTTTCACCTTCACGGTATGATTCAGTGTAGTTCTATATGTAACTACCAAGTGAGGAGACACACACAGATTTTTTTATTCTCTCCACAACTTAACTACCACATATAAGAGAAGACGTGGTATTTGTGTTTTGGGACTCAGTTATTTCACTTAGCATAATGATCCCTTTTGAATCCACATTGTAAATATGTCAGTGTTCCATTCTTTTTTGTGGTTGAGTAATATATACATACATCAGTTGATGGACATCTAGGTTCATCCCATATCTTAGCTGTTGGGGATTGAACTGCTATAAACATGGGAGTGCAGGTAAATTTTTGTATGCTGGGGGTAGCACTGTGGCGCAGCAGGTTAACACCCTGGCCTGAAGTGCTGGCATCCCATATGGGTGCCAGTTTGAGACCCAGCTGCTCCACTTCTGATCCAGCTCTCTGCTATGGCCTGGAAAGCAATAGGAAGACTGCCCAAGTGCTTGGGATCCTGCACCCACGTGGGAGACCCAAAAGAAGCTGCAGATGGTGGCTTTAACCACTATACTGCAGGGTCAGCCCTACGCTGCCCATTTCTTAATGACATTGTTTGTTGTGTTTTGAGTTCCTTATTTATTAAGGATATTAATCCTTTATCAGATTCATAGTTTGCAACTATATTCTCTCATTCTATTGGTGCCCATCCACAGTCTTTTCCTTTGCTGTGCAGAAGTATCTTGGTGTAATTCTGTGAGTATCTTTGTTATTTTATTGTCTGTGCTTACGGAGTGTTATTCATGAAGGGCTTGCCTTGTTGTTGGTTATTTTTCCTATGTGTTCCTCTAGCAGTTGGATGGTTTCAGGTCTTAAGTGTAGATCCACTGTGAGTGGGTTTTTGTATAGGGTGTAAGATAGGGGCCTTATTTATACTTCTGCATGTAGAAATAGAATTCTCATACACTATTTTTTGAAGGAACTCTGCTTTCTCCAGGGAACAATTTTAGCTTGTTTGTCAAAGATTAGCTGGTTTTGAGGACACATGGATTAATTTCTGGGGTTTGTATTGTGTTCCATTGGTCAATAGGCCTATTTTAGTGCCCACAGCAGTCCATTTTGCTAACAATAGCTGTATAATGTTTCTGGAAATCTGGTATTGTGATGCCTTCAGCTTTGTTTTTGTTTTTTAAGATCACTTTAGCTATTTCTGGTCTTTTGAATTTCTACATGAATTTCATAGTTGCTTTTGCTAGTTTTCTGAAAAAATTCCCGGGAATTTTGATTGGTATTATACTGAATTTGTAAGTTATGTGATATTAATTCAACTGCATGTACTGAAAATTTTTTCCGTACTTTTGGAAATTGTGTATCTGGTCATTTGTTGGTGTCCCACAGATCTGGACACTGTGCTCAGGCTTGCTAATTGTTTTCTTCTTCCCCCTGTTCCTTTTATAAAATAGTTCAAAAGAACTGTTTTCAAGAACAGATATTCTATCTTCAGTCTCACAAGTCTGTTTCTAAAGGTTTTCAGGATTTTTAATTTGACCTATTGAATGTAATAACTATCACTTTCAGTATTTTCTCATCCATATCATGTGCTGATTCCCTGGTGACAGTTAACTGTGTTGTTGTGTAACCTTAGAGCCTGTCTTTTGATATCTTGTTTCATGCTTTAGTCTGTCTCCCCTTTTCAGAGTATTTGCTCAAAAAAGACAAGTTATTTATTGATGAACAATTAAACACTTACTCTCCTCCCAAATGGATTTGAAAAATGTGATCATTCGTTTTTCACTACTGATTAGTACAAAAGGACTGACCATTGCATAGCCATTGCCCGCCAGCATCTGGACACACAGGAGCACTGGGTCACTCTTCAACCACATCCCTGAGAAGGAGTATACAATGCAGTCCAACAAGTACAGGAGCACAAAGACACTCATGAGCATCAGGATGGTCTGGGTGGCCCTGTGCTCTGGGGAGGCTCTTGGAGAGAGGCTGGTGATGTGAAGGTGCTGGGACTGCCTCTTGTGCCTGCACAGGAGAGTCACCATGTACCCACTTGAGACGGCCATGAGCCCTAGCAGGGAGACATCCCTGAAGATCCCCAATATGTGAATTGTGTGCTTGGGTAAGGATCTCTGGGGCCAAAAAGAGCAGGACTTAGTGACAAACATAAGACTGTTGGACGTACGATTTTTGGTGGCAACAGTGGAGATTAAGAAACGAGCACTGATGGACAAATTGAAGACCCGTAGGAAGAGAAACCCACACATGCTGTGATGGGAGGAAGTGTGCTTGAACTTTGCCAAACAGGAGCTCCTGGGGCTGAGGGTGATGGCCTGGAGGACACTCAGCAGGCAGGTGGTGCCCAGGGAGAGGCCTCGCATCACCTGGTATGAGTAGATGACAGCTTTGCACGTGATGCCATCCCATAACTCCTGAGTCTCAAAAATGTCTGTAGCTATGACCCCTACAGTGGTCAGCATCACCAAGTGGATGAGTGTCAGGTGCCCAATGGTCAGGCCGGTGGGTTTGGACCTGTGCTTGAGAAAGAACCAGAGGACATGGAAGAGAAGAAGAAAGGCATTGGCTGTGATCCCAACGCTGACTTCAGAGTAAAAGCTATTTCTTACAGCAATCAAACTTAAAAGTATATTGTTTTTACTCATCTTTTGGAGGGAGGGGAGGTAAAGCACTTAGTATATGTCTGAAAAAAATTAAGAAAATTTATTTATTACAAATACTGAGACCTTTGTTGGTCTCCAGAACAGTTCCTGCCTTCATGAAAATGTCTAGGCCAACACCATTGTACCATTTTTTACCTGTGCATATTGTAGTCCACTTCACACTTCTGGAAGCCACTGTGTTTCTAGTTACACACTTGCCAGTTAGAATTGGAAAATATTTTCCACTGCAGGGCTGGCTGACACAGAACCTGGAGTATAAAATTGCCATCATTGAAAATTATTTCCTTATTTTCATGTTATTTTTGTTTTAAAGTCAGGACAATGAGTTATTTATTTTTGGAGCTGCGAATTCAGGACACAGTGTAAGAGCGCTGTTTTTGATAAATTCAAATGAGAATTTTAGGGAAGAAGAAATTAGACCTACAAATGCAGTAGGTGTCAGGGGTATATTGATATGTACATTTTTCTAATGCGACTGCTATATTTATTTTAATTTACTTCCAGAAAAATCTTCTTAATACATAGAACCAAATGGTGGTTAGTGTAGACTCAGAATTTAAATTTAAATTCTGACATCATTAGATTATGACCTCAGCTATCAAGATATCTGAGCTCCAGTTATTTGTAACTATAGGTAAGCAGGTCACTTATTAGAGACTTTATGTGTACAAGTGTATGAGGTAAACATGTGAACAGGTGTACTGCCTGGGGAACAGTGGTCTCTGCCTGTCCCTGTGAGGTTCTCTTGAGCTCACCTTGAGAGAGTGCCATCCTCTCATAATTTGCCAGTTCTGTCCCTGCCTAGAGGAACAGGGGAGTGTGAGCAACACAGTAGCAGGCTCTGAACACCCTCTGTTCCTTCCCTCTCTGTGCCTGGCTTGTGCAAACCACTGTGAATATGTTCAGAGTCTAAGTAGAGGGATGATTGCTTTCTGCAGAAATGAGGATGGGACACCCCCTCCTCCTCCACCAGGAAGGTGGTTCTCCAGGGGGCCTTGAGCCTTCCTGTCTTCCCCATGGGTGGAAGTGCTTGTGGACCTAAATGTTAAGTTTATGCTGGAGAACTTGGCTTGACCTACATGGGGGATGTTTCCCTGTGTAATATAGTTATTTACTGTAGTTGAAACTTTATAAACATGCAGCAATTACTATCATGACAATAATTCCAGTAACACATTTCACATATTTATCATTTGAGAATCAAGATGTCAGGCTGGATTTCATCACAGAAAATTGGAGTATTGGGGTTCTATACTGTAAGTAGCTAAGAAGTTGAACGGGTTAAGTTCCATTGCTGTGTAGCATTTAAGAATCCAGAGACCATGTGGAAGTTGGTTTAAACCTGGGAAAACTACAGCTTTCAACTGTAGACATTACAGAGCAGCATGTATAAAATTTAACCTTTTTGAAGTGTCAGTCAAATAAATGACAGAATTTGATGCATGCATACATTTATGAGGATATGTTTTGAATATGTGGTTTGCTCAGAGAAGTGGTAAAAAGGTTGAGCACTCAGACTCCTCTGTCTCTGCATATCCTGGGTCCTGTGCTGTCATGAGCACACAGCTGTGAACTGCCTTCTGCGTCTTTCCTGTACTTGAAGTAAAAAACAATTGTCTACTGTGTAACTGGAAAATATATACTGATAGTGTTTTAAAATAGTAATAATTAATAGATAACATTTTATCATAACACTTTAAAAAGCTGATGAAAAACTAAAATTCTCAGCTTCTGTTTCTTATGTTACTTCAAATACTTAAGAACATCAAAAATCTAATGGGGACTCATTTAGCAAAAAGCTCCACACTCCAAGTGTGAGAAGGCTCTTTAAGTCTTTCATTATAATGCATAGTATTAAAATATGCAAGATGTCAAGATGTTTTGAGTCAAAATAAACTTATCTTTTAAATTAATTTTTTCTCACAAACTTTGTATATTTCCCTTGAGAAGCTTTGGTGCATTCAGATTTTAAAATAAAATTGAACCTCACAAATACAAGTACACTATATAAATCTAATCAAATAGCATCTCTTACCACAGGTGAGTTGTGAGTGAGGGACTGCATAGATGCAGTTTCTCGTGGGATATTGTAAGAAAGGCAGGATGTACAGTGCCATGAACGTGGTATCATGTCAAGACATTCTATTTTAGGTGCAGCCTTCTTCAAAAAGTCTTACCTTTTACATAGGGGAAATTCTCCAGAAGGAGCAGAAATTCTGCCTCCTTTCACACAATGGTTATTAAGGAAATGGACCCAGTCAGAACCATGCACGGGTGCCCACTCACAGTGGCTCCCGAGAATGGCCAGGGGCTGAGAGCTGAATCCACCCTCCCAGCAGTCTCCACACTGTGCTGAGCACACACCACTGTTACCAGGGGAACACACAAGCCAAATATCGACATTTTATATTACTATTCACATACTATGAGGGAGGGAATAGAAAGCTAATGTGTTAGCTCTTTCTGGCTGATATTTTATTAGAAAAACTATTCTGCAAGCAATGGTCGTAGTGAGTGCTCCCCAGCCACGCTCCTCACACACACTCCTGACAAGCACAGCACAGACTAGGAGATCATAAGTCAGCAGGAGGAGCCAGGAGACCCTCTCATATACAGCTCCGAGGAGTGACAGTGTGAGGTGGCACCTGACTCTGCTGATGGACCAAGCCCCCAGGTCACTTTCTCCACACTGGAGAAAGCAGACAGCCCTCAGAGAGACTGGAGACTGCTAACACAATGTCAAAAGATCACAGCGCTTACAATTTGAAGTTCTTAAAGAGGTCTCATGCAGACTGTTGGTATCACAGGAGAGGAAGGAAGGGCTGAGTGGGAAGGGTAGGAGAATGAGAGAACAGGACTAAGAAGTGTCTGAGAGAAATCAGCATCTGCTTGAGCACTGACCTCCAGGAGCTCTTACATCTGATGCTGCAGGCTGAGTTCAGCCAGGAGCAAATGGACACCATGAAGACTCCTCCTACACCTGATCAAGACAGCACTCACTTCAGACAGCTGTGTGCTGCCCAGACCCAACTCACAGCCAGTCCTGTGCTACATGGCACCATCAGGTGGGCCAGGGACAGTGGAAAACACCAGGATCAGTGTACCACTGGTGGTCAGGAGGGAAGTGTATGGGTGACAGGAGGAAAACCCTCAGCAGATCTGAGTGCAACCGTGTGGCCCTTTTAAAAATGACTTATTTGAAAGTCAGTGTTAGAAGGAGACACAGAGATCCATGTGCTGGTACACTCCTCAGATGTTCAAAAACTGCCTTGGTAGGCCAAGCCTAAGCGAGGAGCTTCTTGCAGGACTCCCCCTTGGGTGGCAGGGGCTTAGACACTAGGGCATCATTCGCTGCTTTTCCCATTTCATTAGCAGGTATCTAGATCGGACGTGGAGCAGCCTGTATTTGAACCAGCACCCATAGGAATGCCAGTGTTGCAGGCAGAGGGTTAACCTTGTACAGCACAAAGCTACCCCGTGTGTAGTCTTCTGAATGGACAGATACAGGGTGAAAATAAGAAGACGTGGAGGACATGTCTGTTCAGTCAGGTACAATATAAGCCTAATCAAGCTGTTGGACTGACCTGATGTGTACATGCTAGGATTTATGTCAGGCACTTGGTGGTGTGCTTAGATATGTGAAAAAGCACCTGTTGGTTTGTCAGTTCCAAAGAGGTCAACTTGACTGTCTTCTCCAGCAAACATCGGTTCAGTAGATGATTTTGGCAATACACAGTGAATGTGTATCAAGAAGTACAAGTGTACTTAGCCACATATTCTGTGTTCTATGTTTCTAGCTGGAGAATTAGGTTGACTACGGTTCAGAAGGAGCTGACAGAGCACACAAACTGATGTTAGTCGCATGTACACAGATGTTGCACAATACATCAATTCTAGTAGAGTGAAGAAAAAGCTTGAGAAATATTTTGGTAAATAAATGGTAGCTGTTTGTCAAAAAATCTGGGTGAGAATTTTATACAATGCAAGGTGAAGGGATTATAAAGTAAAGCCCAGGGTGCCTGCTTGCACTTGGCTATTGATGGTACCAATATTTTTATGTGTAGTCAGAAAATTTTGAAGTATTTTACTCAGTAGGAACTTATTGGTAATATTTGCAATTAATGACTTAATACTAATACTTCAAACAAGGATTTTTTTTTTAATGAAAAAAGAAATCTGGAGACACATACCTGTCTTGAGATCATGTCCTTCCACTATTTGGCCGTAAGGAGAGATCTGCATCACCATCTTTGCGTTTTTTTTTAATTATTATTTTCAGTGTATTTCAGCATCAGTTCCCTATCCTCTAGTTTGGAATATCCTCAAGGCTAGGAACTGACTCCATGATTTTGAAATCTGTGCACATGAAGGCAGAAGAAGAAAGATCTTTAAGAGCAAATATGGTAGTCATTTTGTAGGAAGGAGAAGGTTAATGGCTCATGGCACTGTTTTGAACAAAGATCCCATTTCCTTCTAAAGGGTTACACTGTTTCCTTTTTTTGACAGGCAGAGTGGACAGTGAGAGAGAGAGACAGAGAGAAAGGTCATCCTTTTTTTCCATTGGTTCACCCTCCAATGGCCACTGCAGCTGGTGCACCACGCTGATCCGAAACCAGGAGCCAGGTACTTATTCTGGTCTCCCATGTGGGTGCAGGGCCCAAGGACTTGGGCCAGCCTCCACTGCCCTCCTGGGCCACAGCAGAGAGCTGGACAGGAAGAGGAGTATCCAGGACAGATTCCAGCACCCCAACCGAGACTAGAACCCCGGGGTGCCGGCGCCTCAGTCCAGGATTAGCCTACTGAGCCGCAGTGCCAGCCAGGCTTACATTGTTTCTTAAAAAAGAAACTGTCACCAGTGCCGCGGCTCACTAGGCTAATCCTCTGCCTTGTGGTGCTAGCACACCAGGTTCTAGTCCTAGTCGGGGCACCGTATTCTGTTCCAGTTGCCCCTCTTCCAGACCAGCTCTCTGCTGTGGCCCGGG